ACCCCAAAATGAATAATACCCGAGCGAGTGCAAGGAAGCAATCTCGAGCTCCCGTTGCCACTTAACGCCTCTGAAAGCGGCGTTCCCGCAGCCCCTTGAGGAAACAGTGTTTTTCGCAAATTAAGAGATTCGCAATAATGGCCTTAATGGTCCTGTAAGGGTACAAACTGAAAATTACGTTACCACTTAAACGCGGTTATTTATCGCCTACTTTATTATTACCGCCTACGAGATTTTCGTGGCCCTCGTGTTCAGGACACCGGCTCGCTGTTAAACGACGTTGCACCTCGTTGCCCGTATTTTCAATTAATTCCTCTCTTTCCCACCCCTCTTTTATTTCTTATCCCATCCCCACCGTTGTTCTCCTCCTCTCGTTATGTAAGAGGTTATGTTGTCAGCTTTTTCGGTAATACAAATAGCTAACGAGGTCATATTTATTCGTCAAGAAAACGCAATTATTATACTCGAACGTTGTACCTGCAATTGAACTTCTCCTCGTAAGAGAATTCGCTTAAAGTAGCCGCCCACCGTTTTGTTTCTTTCTTCTCTCCCTTCTTTTTCCATCTACCCGCTGCCAGTCCTGTAAAACTTAACGAATCTTTGCCTCGAAGATTACCCTATTCCACGAAAAGCTTCCTCTTAATTATACAGGATCGATTAGGAAGTTGAATCGAAATTAAAGTCATAAATTCTGCAGCATGGTAGTTGAAGTGGTAGATGGAAGAAGTGCGTGATAGTACGGTCGCAGTTTTTACGACACATTCACGTAGATTTGATAAAAGCAAAGTGTAAAATGTGTATTCTTTCATACTTTTTTAACCGATTTGAATATAACTACTATCTCCTATTCTTCGATTGGCATTTTCCCAAAACCAGTTCTTTTGCACTAGCACCTTTAGAATTATCCTTGAGCTGACAAACCATAGAAATCATAAACGGTATATTAACCCGAAGCATTTTTAACTAGCCCTAGAATTATTTCTTTTTAACTTCTGTACTCCTAGAATGATTATCATCTGACACTACAGTTATGTCCTTGTTAAAAATACTTAGACAAACTACAAGTCAATTTTTCCTACACTTTTCCTTTACATCTGCATAAAACTCTTCACTTTCCCACTTTTTTCCCCTACTTTTCCCCAAGATTTTGCCTGTACCTGGCTGACTGCATGCACACCTGGCAACAAGTGTACAGAAGTGAAAAATTATCGCGTTATTAATACAGCTTTAAAAAAACACACTTAACGATACTTAAAAAAAAAAAAGAGATACACTCAAGGTCAACTTCACATCTCGGTAAATACGAGGCACAAAAGAGTCGAATACAACATATGTTTTTTGTGAAGTTAACAAACAACGGGTGATTTCAGATGACAATTATCATCGACACACCTTGTATCTCCCCGCGGTACAACATTCCATTCGTTTCTCGCGAGTATCTCTCGTGTACGCTGACGCTCTCCGCGGCGAAGCAAAGATCGAAAGTAAAAGAAGGGAGAGAATTGAAGAGAAGTAGCTACAAGGAGAAATCGTTTCTTCGGGATTAATTTCAGGTCGTCATTTTAAAGACAGCGGCGACTTGTAATTACGAAAGTTTGCCGACTCGAAGGACGTCAGAGGGATAAAGGATAAGGACGAGAGAGAGAGGTGGTGGAAAAAATCGAGGGGAGGGAACCAACACGAACGGCGACTCTCGACGCACATAGTTACATAATAAAAGCGTCGAAATCTCGGCGCGAATCTAAGATCTCACGGCTCAGAGGCGTTATATGAAGTCCTTTAAGCCTCGCTGCCCGATCGGAAAGTATTTCTCATTTGGCCTTTGAGACTGCTCTCTGGATTACCACCCCCGCCACCGCCCCTCAACCCCGGCACACATCCACCGAAGACATCAATAACGCCAACTCGAAACTTTCGCTCTGCTTCGAAGTGTTTCTACTGCCCTCCTCTACCTCTCATCGTTGCTCTTCCTCCACGCTGCTTTTCCGCCCTCCTTTTCTTTCTTTCACGTTTCTTTTTTTTTTTACAGGGCCACGTCCAATGGCCCGAAAAGCAATGAACTTTACCCGAGAAGTGACAAATGACCATCGTGAACCGGCCACGAAATATGAGAATCCGAATTGACGATCGAAGAGGCAGAGGGAAATAAATAACAGGATACACGGACGAGGAGGAATCCACGACGAGAATTTGAATCGTCGATCGAGAGAGAAACTCCTCCAGGCAACTCCGATCGAAATGAAGAAATTATAATTATTCGAACGTTGGCGCGTTTTAACCCTTTCACCGCTGTCGACGTCTATAGGCGTTTTGAATATTTTCTCGCACTGTGACCTCGTCGCCTATAGATGTTTAAAAAAATTTTAGATTAATCTACACAATTTGTAACAATAATATGTAACGTAGTGTAATGCAGAACGATGTCTGCTGCATACGAAGAACTATGCTGTGAAAAATGATCGAGCAAACTTCTCATATCAGGAACAATATAACCCTTCCAAGACTAGAGAATTCTTTCTTCGATACAGCAAATTTCCAAAAGATTAGCACGTAATAATCAACAAATTTCTAACCTTCCACGAATAACCTCTTTCGACCAGATCTCCCCGGCTCGATAATTAATTTCCCACGTCACGATCTTACGTTCCAAAGAGATCTACGCGAGACGATGCTAAAAGGATTCGGCTAGTCTTGCCGGAGGCTGAAAATTTCGAAGAGATATCGTGGTCAGTGTACGCGTTTGCAGCCAGACCCGCAAAGGAAAAGCGGAAACGGCACAAAAGGACACGGGATCTCGGGTGGATTCGGCGGAAGGCAGATGAAAAAGTATTCGAAATGAAGAACGATGAAGCGGCAACAGTTAAAGACGCCGGTGCATCAAGTAGATCAAACATTTGTGTCGGTTTCCGGTATAAAGTAAGAGCACGCGGGAACGACGCGAGAAGGGATGAAAATCTTTTAACCAAATGACGCGAAGAAGAAGAAGAAGAAGAAAGGGGGAAAAAGAAGAGAAGAAACGATGATAACACGAAGTGGAGAAAGAAGAGGAGAGAGGCTGGCCGATTTTAAAC